AATCACATCGGAACAGTTGCCTAAGGCCTGGTTTGTACAGGATGAAAAGTGAGCAAGTGATAAGTTTCCAAATGACCTCTGTCAGCTCCGAAAAATAAAAAAGCAAAGACGACAACAGCCCGTGTTAACTGGAAAGGCCAGCTCAGGCACGACTAAACGGGGGGCCAAGTGTACGCGAAAGAGCAGAAAAGTGTCCTTGCATCCCCATCTAGTGGCTTTTGATGAAATAAATCTGTACTCGCTTTCGTTTGGACATTTTCTCCTCTACCTGTTAATGCCATCTGCCAAATGATAGACAAGCACGTGGCTAAACTCGCATCAGAAGTGCTGAGCTGACTCAATGCTGCTCGATTTGACGTATTTCTTCGGATTTAATTTTTCATAAATACTTTTCAGTAAGTTTTCAGGCTTTCAAAGTGGTTTTCTCCATCTCTGCTCACTTTTGTGGGCAGAGCCAAACGGACCAGCTGCCACGGTCCAGGGGACCAACGGGCATGTTTGCTGCCTGGTATAAATACCGGAATTTCAGAGATGATAGAACTTACTGCGAATGGAAAGGAAACATGAACCCAACTTTCAAAGAAATGTTAATTTAACTAAGGATATTCTTTGAAGAGCAGGACAAACCAGAAAGATTCACAGAAGATCAGCCAAAGCTTCTGTGAAAGGTAAGCATCCCACATTGGACTCGTGCCCACTTTCCCACCGTTTGCTCTCTGTTTACCCAGAAAAGGGCTACTCGTTGTCTTAGTTCCACTGATGGCATAAAAAGAAATATTCTGGTTTTGTAACAGATTTTTCCTCGCCAGAGCGGCTTCTCCTGGGGTACTTTGGCTGCTCGGAGCGTTCAGGCCTCTTCCCTTCGGAGGTAGCGCAGTGTCGTGCATGCTGTGATGGCTGGGCTCAGCCTTGCTTTAAGAGGAGGTAGGTAAACAGGACTTCAGTTCTGATCCTTCATTTCAGGTGCAATTGAAATGTAATAATCAGTGACATTAAGAATTCAGTGCTACTTTTGTGTTACCTGCTCTCTGAGCTCTTGACGGCCCTTATGGGAGCTCAGCACCCGTGGGTCCCTGGGTCTGCCAGCAGTTTGCATCACCTTGCGATGTGCTGTGATTAATCCAAACTGCCCAGCTGTAACTCCTGCACCTGCAGACTTACTTGCTCCCAGTTACAGGCTGGTTGGTGAGCCCTGCTGAGGCACAGGAGCATTGATTTAGCACACCAGTACCACCCAGAAACCTTAGCAAAAAGCAAAGCTCCCACGGTGCCGAGCTCCCTTGGATGTACCCCTTCCTCAGCTGCCCCAGCCCTGGGAGGGTCCCTTGGTTTCTTACCAAAAACTCCAGTCCCCGTTAGTCTGTCCTCTTGACCAAGAAAAATTCTCAGGGACAGGTCTCCATGGCCTTACTATTTGCACTGCTGACTTTGAGCCAGGGACAAAACCTCTTTCGCTGGCAATTCTCCACGTTTCCGTACAGCGGGGTTTGCAAATGTCCTGGTTTTGGAGCACCGTACCTGTCAGATGTGTTTAATCCTGCTGATGCTGTACTCCCAGCAGCACGGGTACAGCCGGGGAAAGTTTAATTCTGAGCATATTTTCCCAGCTGAAGACCTGTGAACTCTTTAGGGGTAAAAGGCACACTTTACCGTACCTGTCTTTGCTCTCAGAGAGATTTTCTTTTGAACGCTTTATGGTTTGTAGAGCAAAAGCTGGTCTTCACCTTGAATCAAAGAGCCTTTTCTGAAGGTGGTCACGTTGGACTCTCCCTCTGCCCTTACCTTAGCTCTGTAATTACAACTACACGAGATATGACCTCTAGTCAAATAGTTTGAAAAAGGTGATTTTAAAAGGTCTGGAAGAATTGCACCAGCAGCCAGGCTTTAATAAAAAGGCAGGAAGGGCTGTGTTAAAAAGAAGAATTGATCTCCAGATCTAGGTGCTTCGTTTTTTGGGGGGAGGTTGAATCGAAACGCAGCTGGAACGGCCAGGCCCAGCAGCAGTGAGAGCTGTTTCCCCTGGGGAGGGATGGGTTCTGCTTCTCCAATGTCATCTTTTTCAACATTTATCAAAAGCCATATTCTTTTTCCTATAGGAAAAAAACTGTATACACTTATAAAAACAAATACTGCTGCTCGAACTCCAAGATCTACTGCTGCCCAGGAGGTGTTAAATATTTAATAGGATTAATACAAAACAAAATTTCTTCCTTTAATGAGAAATCTTGTCTTTAACTATCAGGAAAATGGGTGCTACAGAAATGCTGGTTATCTTGCTCTCTACCAGAACTTGCCTAGTGCAGAATAATGGGTTTGCACCAAATATTTCACTCAGGAGAGTACAGAAATTGCTGGCTATACCTTAGAACATTTGTCTAGGAAACTGAAAATATCTAACTGATAAAACTGCTTTCATTAAAAGAGGAAACACTGCTGCAGAAGAAAAGAACTCTGCTCACAAGAAAATCAAAGTTACATTACATGGGCCTTAATTAGTTGTTCTATGTGCTGCTGGGAGGATCTCAAAAATAAACTAGTAATGCTACGAGGAACTCTGTAAAAATGCCAAGGACCTTCCTGACATTCATCAGCCTAAATGCTGATCACTATTTAGAAGATAAATTCCTTGAAAGTTGATTTCCAAACCCCTGGACTTTCCTGCCTGGAGGCGCAGGTCCGAGGCTTGTCGTGGTGGGTTGATGGAGATGGAGCGTCGAGGGGGCTCGGCAGCAAAGGCGATACCAGCCTCGGGCAGGCTCGCTCCTGGGAAAAGAAGGGAATGACCTATTTCTGCAGGATCAGCCCAAACCTGACCTCCACAGCCGCAGCGTGTGGGGAAAAACACTATTGCTTTGTTCTTCTCTCGCTGCAGCCCCTGCTTTAGCCTTAGCCATCACCTCACTGATCAAAAACCCCCCAGCTTTTTCACTTTGGAAGAAAAACACGGTTTAGAGCGGATTTAGTCACGAGCTTGACCAGAACAACCGAAAGCACAGCGTGCGGAGGGTACATCCTCCAAAGCCACCCTGCCGCCAATTCCAGCCGGCGCAGGCAGCTGCCCACAATGTGCTGTTGTTTCCAACCCCAGGGGAACAAAGGCTGTTGTTGTAGGCTAATGCCAGCTCAGTTGTGGCATGTGCCTGCGTGGGTTGTTGGAGCTGGAAGGGGACACGGGGTGGGGGACGGACCAGGGAGGGGTATCATCCCCCAGTGGATGTACAAGGAGGTTTCCAAGGGCTGTGTGGCTCCTGGATGCCGGAGGTTTCTCTACAGCTCCTGTTGCTCCGGGGAGGTACGTCTTTTCTGCTGGGACCTCTGGGGTGTCCATCCCTGGTGGTGGGGTGGGGGGGGGGGGGTTCAGGGGTGCCTGGGCCAGAGGGGTGATGTTGTGGCTTAGCTGGGAGGAGGCAGAGGTGGCTGGGGGACAGGAGGGAGCTGCAGCTGCAGCATGTGGGGCTCGGTGGAGAAGCGCCAGGAGCCATCCACCGGTGCGTGGTTGGTGTCTGGGGGCCGGCGTCTCTGGTGGAAATATTTAGGGATGGAAACGGCTGATGTAAAATCACCGCCTGGGTGGTCAAACAGCATCAGGACTCAAATCTGCATTTTAGAGCTAGTGAAGAGGTTCTGGTCTTCCCTCATCTTCGATTTGAATATTTTAGTTAAGAGCAGCGATGTGGCCATTTCTAGCTTAACTTGCTGCTGCGAACCTGCCTCAGGGTGGAGATAGATAACTTAAATCCATTTGGAAGCCAAATCTAGTACAAACCCAGACAGGTCACTTGATAATGAAGCATCCCCACCTGAAAGCATGACCCCTAGTCTTGGTGGGGCAGGCAGTGTTTTGAGGGGGGGGGGTTGCAGCAAGGGAGGAGGTTTTAGCTGTCATCTGCTAAATCTGTTCTGCCCATTGCCTTCGGGGAAAGGGAGTGGAGAGAATCCTAATGCCGCACTTCCCACCACCGGACCTCATGTGGCCATAGAAAGTCCCTACATCCTTTTTCACCTCTGCGTTACTAGATTTTAGTCAAAAGGAGCATCAGTCTCATGGATGCTGTAGAGAAAAGGCTGAATCCAGGTGCGAGGAGCACCCGGGATTTTCTGTATTTACAATCGCGACCACTGCACCTCCTGTTGTGCCAGCCCATCCTGGGTATCCTCCAACCACCTCCGGCTTGGCCAGCTCTCCCTCCAAAATATTTCCTCCCTTTCTAATCCCTGCAGTTTAGCAAGCAGAGCAGGAGCAGGCTGGGTTTGCTGCCCCCCACCCCAGCTGCCCGTCCCCCCTCACAGGGCAGGGACAGGGGGGTGCCAGGCTGCCCGCGGGGCTGCAGGATCCGCTGGCAGGTACTGCCGTTATGTCCCCTTTCCCCCCAAATCAGCGAAGTTAAAATCATTTGCTCAGGTCTCTGGGGAGCCAGCAAGCCCCTCTTCTTTCTGGAGAAAGTGGGGATCTCCCAGCAAATCCCCCCAGTCTGTCCATCGGGCAGCAGCACAGCAAGGCTGCAGGGAAGCGGCTCCCGCCAGCCCAAAGGAGAGGCAGGGTTCAAAGCAGATTAAAAAGCAGATGGAAATGGCCCCTGGGTCTGCCCGGCGTCAGCTGACACCCCTCCGCCACTGCCACTCAGGTTTTAAAGATCTGGAAGTCTCAATTTGTCCCTTTGTTTTTGTTTTTCTTTCCCTCCCCCCGAAAACAGCGCAGCTCCCGTGCCATGCGGACAGCCCCGCAGACGTCAGGCCTTGCTCATCGCCAACCCTGGCCCTTCGCTCCTTCCCCACGGAGCTCAGGTTTCCCCTTCTCGCTCCGGTGACGCTGCCCGTCCTCAGACGTGCCGGCAGAGCCGCGGCCGCACGCCGGGGTGGCCTCCAGCGTCACAGCGGGTTGAGCGGCCGGTGCGGAGCGGGGCGGCAAACAGCCATGCTAACCTAGTGGCCAGGCGCCCAGTTAACCCACCAGCCCCACGACCGGTTGCCGTGTCCCGGCACGGCACCCCGTCCCAACCATGGACCCGGCCCCGGAGGTGAAGAGGTAGGTGGATTTTGGAAGGGAGCGAGGGTGCGCGTTTCCCTGCTGTCTGGCGGGGTGGCAGGGCCAGCCCCCGCTGTCCCGGTGTCGCAGGTGGATGTGCGTAAGGTGGGAGGAACAGAAGATGTGCCCGTGTCCTGGGAGGGATAAGGGGATAGATGAGGAGACCTTTAGCCCCTTAGCAGCCTAAGTTTAGGTGTAATGAAATTATGAGTTATGAAGGTGTTCTGGCAGTTTGTGTCGCTAGAAATGTCTTGAATTTAATGACTTGTTCAACTTAAAGGTGCTGCACCACTTGAAGTGACACTGTGAATTCCCCCTGTGCCCTGCACCTGCAGTCTGTAATGCAACCTGCTTGGTTCATGGAGGGAAAGAGGTTTAACCTCGCTAACGGCGAGCTCCAATTTAGCCTGGAGTGGTGGCAGGACCAGTTGCCCACCAGCATCCCTCTACCTGGCAGTCGCTGCTTCGGTCCTGCTGTTGGGTATCAGCGTCCTGGGATGGGCAGTACCGGCCCAAAGCATTGCACTCAATTTTCAGATCCGGGCTAGATTTTAAGCCAGATTTTAGAGGAGGTCCGTTTGTTCCTAGCAATAATTAAGCCTGTTTCACCTTCCCAGCAGCAAGTGTCAGTCTTAGAAACCCTGCCTGGGGAGAAATGGCAAGAGTCTCGGTGGAAGAGTTATCATCTTGGCATCGTCCATCCTGGTGAATGCCTGTGCTGCAGTCTGTCCAGGTCACCTGGCAGGTCTCCTGGGATGGCTGGAAACACTTGACCGGTCAGAAATGGAGTTCATGTCCTGGGACCCGGAGAGTTGTTCCTCTCTGCACAGGGGAAGCCATGCCACGCCTCGGCATTTTAGTGGGAGATTTATTCTGAATGCCATCTTGCTCAGTTCAGCCAGCTGAGAGGACAAAATAGTCCTCTGTTTTGACAGGCAGAGAAGGAAGAAGTCAGAGGGTTGAGTGGAAATTGGAGGGATGGGGCTGCAGCCCACCTGGAGCTTATGGAGGTGGTCTGAGTTACTGCTGAACTTCTGGAAGGTCTTTTCTGGAGAGAGGTGAGGTCAAGGTGGTGGAACCGAGACCTTTGATGTACCTCGTGGCAGCCAGGTGTGTGACTTTGGCAGTGAACTCAGATGAAATCAACTGGTCTTGCAGGACTTTGGCAGCCCCCCAGCATCTCCGAGACTTCTGGGACACCCTAGTCGTTTCTTGCCTTCACCAGCCAAAGTAGTGTGTTATTTGCACATGGCCACTTCCTTGCTACCTGCTAGCACAGTCGTTCCATATTTGTATCTCAAAGCCCCACTACAGACTCCCTTCTTTCTTTTCCACCTCCTGGCTTGTTTCTTATTCACGTAGGAGTTTTTTCCCTGGCTTGGGGGACTCGGGAGCTGCTTACTGCTATTGCAGACTGCTTGTCATGAAGCATTTTCTAACAGCAAAGCTTTGGGAGCAGCAACGTGTCTAAACCCAGGTTATGCAGGAATATCACCCCTAAGTCTTGCTGTGCATCTCAATATTGAAATGTGGTTACCCAGAAGATGACTATTCCCCTTGCATAGATAGCCTCACCCCAACACTTTCTCTGCAGAAGTGAGGTCCTTGCTCCAATTTAATTTCACCCCTTCCTTTTGCTAGTGGCAGCTCATCCCTGTTTTATAGATGAGGCACATTGTCAAAAGAAAATGAAGATGTGACTTCATTGCTGGAAGTCTTCCCCCAAAAAAGTAAACTAAGAATTAAAACATGTGACTGAATGAAAACATTTATAGTCAAATGACCTCTTAGACTTTTGCCCTTTGAGTACTGTACCTTCTACAAGCTACCCAATGTAGTATTTGCAGCCAGGAAAATCTGAAGTTAAAAAAAAAAGCAAAGAAAAAGGTCCCTGAAACATTGGGCCAAGTGGATCTTTTAGCACTTCAGATACTGAAGCTCACTGTAGCCTTTTCCTAATTTCACTGCTACTTCTTCTACTCCATTCATGATTAAAGGTTTCACAGAGTGTGTTAGTATCACTTAGTCTCATGCCTTCCACTGTATTGACTGGTTAACGATTCTTCAGGGGTAGGAAAAGCTTCCACAACACATATCAGACAAGCTCTGATGCAGGTGGCCAGTCTGTTGCTGATGCTTATGGGTGATCAGCTAACCAAGAAGTTTTGACTTTCTTTAGTCTAGTAAAAGAGAACAAATAGCATTGATTATCAGGTGAGGAAAATTTGTCCTGGAGCATCTTCCTTTTGTTCTGCATTTTCAATGCAGCTTCAAAAAAGCGTACAGGTTCTTCAAATAACTGAAGTGCTATACTTTCCTTACAGGAATAGGTTCCCCAGCATGAACTTTGAAGCAGAGATTCTGACAGCTCCACACGATAATTCAGGTATTTGGGAGAAAAAAACAAAAAGGAGATAAAAGTAAAATGCCCACTCAGCTTGCTATCGTGACAAATATCTTCTAATTCTTTTGGAGTTAGAGATTGTTTAAAAAAAAACAACAAAAGAAAGAAGATGCTAAACTGACTGCAATTCAGGTGATTTCAGGTTTATGTTAGGGTATAGTGCAAAGCATTGAGGATAGATGTTGATATCTTTACCTCCAATAGGGCTGGACATAGGGTCTCCATACATACCTACCAGAAACACAACTGCCAATGACGTGTGATTTTGAAAACAGCACAGCCCTTCAATTTAAGATTGCACAGTCCTGTACAAGACAACTGTAGTTTTCTTACTAATGCCAACTAAAAGCAGATGATAAATAAGCAGCTCCTCAAAAGGCAAAAATGTGGATGAAGATATTCTGCTGAGTCTTGTCCTTCATCCTCATTTTGTTTAGGAGGAAGAGGTGATTTCTTTCCTATTGAATGCTACCTTTCCAGTGCTGGTCTCACACGCTGAGGCTGGCACTTCGACTGCCTTCCAAGACAGACCCCAGAGCCAGTACTCAGCTGCATGGCAACTTCTCATGAGCCTCAAGTCTTAGTCTTATCATTGCTCCTCAGACCCAAGCAGCTGGCCAGAGCTTGTGCCCTGGTGCCAGCGCTGTCATTAGGATGAGACAGAAGGAAAGTGAGGTTTTGCAATAATTGCTTGCAACCCCTTGAGTAGCCCTGGGTGTTGGTTCAGAGCTAGAAATCTTGGTCTCAGCCACCCACACTTGTTCAGGTGAAATGCTTTTGCTATCAGTTGCCCTCCTGGCCACGAGCTGCAGTTCCCAGCAGGGAATTCACCTCTCCAGCAACGCATTGAGGTCCCATACCAGCAAGAGTTGAAATTGAGGTGCACGGGGTTGACTGTTGTTGCTTCAGCTGCAGGAGGTAGTTTTTGTGGTGCATCACCCCTAATAGCAAGTATGCCAACAGCTCGCTATTTCAGTTACGCCATCCAGCATGTGCACGAGTGATGGCCCCTCCAGGTTTGGACCTGTTGTACAATTCCCTTCACCTCCTTGCCTTGAGTCCTCCAGAAAAACACTCCAGTTACCTCCTTTTCTGAAAACCAAGTGCCCTGCATCTGGCTAAGCCTTTTGGAGACATTTTCCTCAGGCTGACCTGTAGTAATGAGGCACTTAACAAATACGCTGATGTCAAAGGGCATCTAAGAATAATTTTCAAACCCTGAGTGTGAACAGGTTGGAAAGTGTTTGCATGAGTCCACCTGCCTGGCTGGCTTCTGGGCCATGTGTCCTCCATACCATCTTCCCAAATCTCTGGCTTCTGTTGGGTTGGGTTTCTTCCATGAGGTAAGTGCCTTGATTCTTCACTTGCCTTGAAACCACTAACACACAATTGGTATTTGTTTCTCAAGAGCTATATGTGATCCCTTCCATGAGAAGTCTCACGGCTGAGGAGTATGCAGAGGCCTTTAAGTCATTTTTGGATCATTCAACGGAGCATCAGTGCATGGATGACTTCAACAAGGAAGAGATGCCCAACATCGTGGCTGGGTAAGGAGGGCTTCCACCAAGGCGGGAGAGCCATCTGTTATCCTGGGAGAGCAACCTGCATACAAGGGTCAGCAAACATGCTTAAGGATTTTCTGGGGCAGGAATGAACTTTTAATGCTTTTCAGTTTTAAGTCCCTTAATAGTGGTCTTTAGGATATTCTGTTTAACGACTCCAGAATACGTGCTATTTCAATTAATACACTGTCCTGCCTCTCAGCTTATGTTAAGGAAAGAATCAAGACCGCATTTTCATGTCCATCTCTTTTCATTAGCTGATTTTCCAAGGATTAAAATTTTTTGTTTGTTGTTTGTTTTTTTTTTCAAAGAAAGCTCTCTTGTGCTCTCTCCCTGCTTTTGGGACTTCATCACACATCAGTCCAAACAGAAACACATCTCTAATGCTCTTCTAGTGACTAATTCTTGGTTTTCTCAATCCCCTAAGACCTCCTTATTTCTATCCTAAGTCGATTTGCATTCCTTAAGTACCAAATGATAATCAGTTTTGTGAAGTATTGATGTAATATACTAAGCCTGGATGACTGCAGATAGTTTTTGAACACCCTAGATCCAAACCACAAGAAAACCCTTTCAAGTTTGCAGAATTTCGGATGTTACAGAAACTGTATTCTCCATTGAGAAAAAAATTTAGGCAGGCAAATTTTTATTCTCCAGATCAGATATATATATATATATTTAAAAAATAAGCAATAAAATAATAATGAAAAAAAAATTTTATTGGGAAATTTTATTTGAAAAATTTACTTATGTGAATTTTAAATGATGCAAAACATTACGGCTTCCTATGATGCTAATTGTGGGTCTGTCAAAGGATCTTGACCCTCATTAGGGCTAAGGCTCCTTGACTAACTCACACCCTCCAGGATTTACTACTTGTTCCCCTCTTGTTGAATCATTGCTGCGGTGTCTTCTGAGATTGTGTATGGGAAACTCAATCCCCCTGCACAGTCCATGCCCGAGAGCAGATTAAGGCTATAAAGCACGTCAGAGCAGCAAGGCACCTCAAGCACGGGCTCCTCATCCTCGAGCCAGGCTGTTATTAAATATTCTGCTAGGAACCACATGACTGGGTTTTTTTTTTTTTTTTGTCTTTTCAAATTAATTTTGCTAAGATAAAAATTATTGAAGATTCTGACTTTCCCTTCCAATTTCAAACTAAGATTAAAGTTGCAAAGAGAGGATTTCCAGTCACCCAGATAGCCTGATTTTTTTACTTTTTCTGGGTATTTATATCCAATATTGGAAAACCAAACTTGTCTCCTGAGGGCGCAGAGGTTTCGCCACAGCTCACCTTGTCCCTGCATCCCCAGCGGTGCCCATCCCAGCCAGGCACAGCCCCGTTACCCCTAAGGGAACCCTTTGCCCTGGGGTTCCCTGAGGCCTTTTTGCATGGTGCCAGCCACGGCTTGAAGAAAACCCTCTGGCAAAGGATGAGAAACTCTATATCCTGATGCCTACTGTACTTTGAAATCTGAGCTTGCTAATATGGGGCTGGCTCCCACCATGCAGCTGGTTATAGTTGGGCTCCAAAGGGATGTTTGAATTTCTATCCCAATTCATGTGACAAAACATGAACATTTCTGGGTCAATGTGGTATCCAAGATATTAGAATTAAAACATGAAGTCACGTGACATGCTGTGGTTAAGTAATGTGTACTTATAATTTCAGTCTCGGCAATGGAAAATCGACTATAAATGTTCTGGGAGTTGGAAGCGGCACAGGTAAGGAGCTTAGCAGCACTGTTGATGCTGGGGGACGAGGGTCCCTATGGGTAGCAGAAAGAGATACTGAAATTTTGAGCAATGGGGATAACTACTCAGACGTTAATGACAGTGTTTCTCATTGAAGCAGAGAATGGCAAAGCAAGGTGTGGAGCTGGGACCAGAGCGATGCTCCCTCCCTTCCTTCCCCGACTCTGTTCTGAAACGCTGCTGCTCAAATCTTGCTGAGAAGTGAGCTGAGTGTGATGATTTTAGCTTAGTCTCTGCCTCTTGATGACTCTCAGCTGACTTTATGTGTCTTAAAGCAAGGAGTTCTGCTCCGGGTTAGGTACGAGAGCATCTTCAAACCTTGTCAGAGAGAGAGAGAGACATCTGAGAGGTTCATTCCACCTGAAGTCTCATCTTAGACTATCCCACCTGAAGGGATCTCTCTTTCTGCTTTGCTTTTAGGGATCCCAGCGGACAAAGCTGGGCGATGCGATGCTCCAGGTGGTGCAAAACCAGCTGGCTACAAGCATTAGCATGGGGCTGCATCAGCTTTTTCAAGACGTGTTTCTTTGTTACTGCTGTGTTTTTACCCAGTGATAAGTAGGGTTTAACTGAAAATGATATTTCCCCCAGAGAGAAACCCATCTTTTGGAAAAACAGCTTTAAAGCTGTTTTAAATGTATTTGTGTTTAAAAAAAAGAATAAAGTGGTGAAACATCCAACTTTGCTCCTAGGGAAACCGGGAGAAAATAAAAAGTAGAGAAAAGAAGTGGCAGTTTGATTTGTTAGAGTTTGCTTTTGCTTTAAAAAGTATTTTCAGCTGAATTTTAAGTGTTAATACTTTCAAATGAAAGCATTTTTCTCACTTTTTTTTCTTGTTTTCCTGAGTAAGAAAAAAATAGCATTGAATTGTTTTCCCCAGTTGGGAATGCATTGGAGCATTTGAGAAAGCAAGCAGGAAGAAATCATTCAGTTCTTAATTACACTCTTTTTTCATTAAGTAATATAAACCTGAAACTCTGACTCCAAGAAAACACAAGGGAAAAATGAACTTTTTGCACCTTCCACATTTTTCCTTATTTCCTCTTCAGAAGATGTTTTAGTGGAAAAGTAAAAACTCTAAAATTTCCTGGGTTTCCTGGGTAACTGCCCCTCACAGATGACGGGACAGGGGTATAGATTCTCTCCCCACCCCCCCCGCCCCCCAGCTTGCCCACGGCTGCAAGAGCTGGACTTCTGCAGCCGGGCAGGGAAGTGAGCTAGGATGGCATTGAGCAAAAGGTTATATCTGATCCCTGACCTTTCCAGGCTTGGACTCTGATTTCACAGAGCCCCCAGAATTAGTTTAGTTGACAAAAATATTAATGGGGATTAGTGACCAACTCCACATCCTAACAGACTGCTGGCCAACCCAGATCACATTTTCTCATTCACCCCGTGTTTTCCCGTGGCTGGTTTAACCATCTCGGCTGTAACCTCCCAGTTAGTGCCAGCATGGGCTGGTGCTTGCAGAGAGGTTTCACTCCTGTTTCAGCCTCGCTGTGGCTGGTGCTGACAGGTTGTTGCTGGCAGGGCAAGCAGGAGCAGAGAAATTCCTGCTCTGAAGCATTGTATTTTACCGCTTGTTTTTGCAGACACCCCAGTTGAGGACATTATTACCTGCTCTTGCAAAGACTGGATTAGGGCATTTTACAGAGACGGAGTAAAAAAACCAAAAAAACCATGTGGCTTTTAAGATACCCATTTGTCACCATCAGTGGCTCCAGGGCATGGGGCAGCAATGCTCTGTCTCCCACCTGCCCTGAGCCTGCAGGGAGCCCACATCAGCACCTCTAATTGCTGGTGCTCCCTACCCCAGGCACATACTAACTGGCATTTAGCACTGTCTAAAATGTTGCTGTAGGGATCTTCCTTCTGTCAGCAATATTGGTCCACCTTCAACGGATGCAGCCGCAGCCTCTTTCCTTGTGCCTTTGGCCAGCCCTGCACCACTGTCACTGCATTCCTCAGGGGTCTTGGTTTTTTTTTTTTATTCCAATTTCAAAAGACTTGTCCTTCCTCGGATGTCCCTGTAGTGCTGGCATGGCTGATATTTCCTTCCTTGAATTCTATTTATTGCAACACCTGCCAAAGATGACGACTTTTCTCATAGCTGGTACATCAGCTGAAAGGCTAGGGAAGATGCAGTATCTCATATCAAGCCCTCTGTTTGTGACATTTCCAAGGGCAGGACTATTTTTAGGTCCCACCATCAGCTACAGACAGGATTCTTGCAAAGGTCCACTCAAGGTGGTCACCTCTGCTGTTTATTTCCATAGTCCCAGATGGACTTTGTACACTTGGTGTATTGTGGCCTTTCTGAAAGAAACAAGGGTGACCCGCATCACCTCGAAAGAGGCTGGGAACTTCCTAGGACAGAACGATAGACTGCCACTTGCTCCTCCAGAACTTAGACAACAACAGAGGAGCACCAATAGCTAAATTTGCAGGGTACCTACACACAAATATATGAGTCTCTATTTGCAACTCCAAGATAACAACTAGTTAGTAGATGCCCAGAGCTGAGACCGTGTGGCTGGTCCCCAAAGAGGGAAGACCCAGGGTACTGCATGTCGATGGGTCTTTCCTCTTGCCGTGCAGGTCCCCAGCTCTCCAAGCCGTGACACACCAGCAGCAGAGCAGCCATCACCTCCTTGGGGCAGTGCCAGAGGTATGGACCATCCTGTGCCACGCTGAAGTTGCACAGCTGTGCTGACTGCCTCCTCACGCCCATTCAAACTCTGTGCTTTTGTTGAAAATTAATGCTTCATGGTGGGGTTATTTTTAAACATTGATCGTTGATTAGTTTGACCCGTCTGTCCCATGACCCAGAGTATTGCCATTAGCAGGTTTCTGCACTGTTGCTTATCTCTTCCTTGTTCTTAGTCTTATCTGCAAGTGTATGTTACCTCGAGCAGTAAGATATTGTGGTGAGGCTGGGTTAGATGCCACCGTGCAAACCACAAAGTAGAGAGTGCCTCACTTCTACTTGGGGGATTTCCCAGTGGCAGAGGCGGCCGGTGCACCGGCATCCTTTCACCACATTGATGTACTTCTTAAAGTAATGCATTTGTGTTTATTGAATAGGTGAGCAGGATTTGAAAATGATCAGGATAATGCAGGCTGCACACCCAGGGGTCCTTATTGACAACGAAATCATAGAGCCCAACCCACAGCACGTGGCTGCTTACAAAGGTAAGCCTATACCTGCCTGCCTGGGGTATAGTGAGGACCATCACTCTGAATGATGAGTTTTTCTGCTGTTTTGTGAAATTCATGTTTTTCTTCTCCTTTTTAAAACAGAGTTGGTGAATCAAGCTCCAGATCTGCAGAACGTCTCTTTTCTTTGGCACCAGCTCACTTCCCTGGAGTATGAACAGCAGGTGAAAGAGAAAGACGCACGTAAGAAATTTGACTTCATCCATATGATTCAGGTAATGGAGTATTGCTTTAATATAGGAGTATTAGCTTTAACTACTCCCTTCATTTCTGCTGCATGCATGAAGTTAGGGGGACCAGAGCTGAGCACAGTTCTCCCATGAGCAATAACTTCTGCAGCAGCCCTACAAACACCTAACCTCATTCCCTATCCACCCTGGGTTTGGTCTCTGGTTTGTACTAGTTTAACTGTTTGTGGTGGGTAATAAAACAGGATGAATCTCAAGCCATCACACGTCACACGGAGACCAACAATTATGCTTTGCTGCCTCAAAAAAACCTTGAATTTTCTGCCTTATCAGAGTAGTTTGGATGGCACTGAAGGGAAACGTTGGTGAATGAGCCCCTGTGTCAGGTTTTGGGTCAGAAATTATGCTGCTCTGTCTCTGATACTGATGACTCTGATGTTTTGTGTGCCAATTATATTTTGTAAAAATCTGTTTTTGCCTCACTTTAGTGGCCTTTATTTCATTTTTCCGTTATTTTATTTTGCTTTCATTTCATAAGAGCTGATTTCACAACCAGAAAGTGTTTCAGGGGTTTGATGGCTGGGTCAAGGACTAAGTTACAAGTCCCCAGGGCAGCCTTTGAGATGAGCTCTGCTTTGTCCTAGTGCAAATTCCTCAGTGTCTGGAAAAGATCCAGCATGCCCACGGCCCAGACACAGCCGAGAAATGCCCCTGGTGATAAGGACTGTGGCAGAAAAAGACTTAACTGCAATGTTCAAGCAAATGACTTGAACTTCACTCACAGACTTAACTGCAAGGTTTAAGCAAATGATTTATTTGAACTTCACTTACAGACTTAACACGCCACTATTGCAGGTTTTACAGGTACAATGGAGGAATGCACTATTGCAATTTTTAAGGTAAGGGTAGTACACTATTACAACCACAAGCGATTCACAGACAACCACAAGCACACACGTGTTTACAAACTTAAAGCATAAACAATATTCACTTAGCCCTCCAGGTAAGGGCTCTCAATCCCAGGGAAGCTACCTCAACTGGCGTCCCGATCAAGGGGGGGGAAAGGGTTTCCTTCACAAGCCAACTGTATGGTTGGAGAAGTGACTCCCCCATTTCCAACCTGAATCTTAGAGTTTTTATCCCCTGACTTGTGGAATAGTGAGTATGACTATGTCTGAGCGGATTATGATGTATGCCTAAATGGATTATGTGTATCTGAGTGGAGTTTCCCCTTATCTTTCCTTTGCTGGTCTGTGATTGTTTGAATACACAAGGTTGTCATTTGAAACTGAAGCTGAAACCCTCCAGTTCTTTTTTTTTACCTTGCTTCCTCAGGCAACTGAATAGTGGTTGGATTGAGACTCGGCATACTATTTGTTAAGGGATTTCAAGGCTCAGTTCAGGTTTTGGTTCTTTGAATGGCCCAGCCACCGCCCTGTTTAGGTTAGGGTTTATCAGACAACCCAGGGTTAAGCTGTCTACACAGCTCCCTGTGAGCTGTCTCTGCAGAGAGCCAGGGCCTCAAGGCAACCCAAGGCTGGGCCACCTTTGTAACCCCCCCCATGAGTCGCCTGTGTGCACTAGACATGGTGAAACTCCTTTGTGAACTATGAGCCGGACAATCCACACAAGGACCAGCCACAGAGACCAGGGGACTCCACTCTGCACATATTTTCCAACCCCAAAACTGCACTGGGCTTGACGGGCAGGTCAGCATCTGGCTGGTGGCCGAGGCAGAGCAGAGGGTCCCTGGGTCTGACCTCAGGCTGTTGGTGCTAGTGGAGAGCTGGTGATGCTCAGTCTTGTGGGGTATCCCCAAATGTGCGTGCTGGGCCAAGACAGACTGGGAAGCAACTGGGAAGTAATTTAAAACAACTCTATTAGAGAAAGGGTTCAAGCGTTTGAAGGGCCATTGCACTGTGGAGGAGGAGTAATGGCTGTGTGTAACTATCTAGATGCTGTACCGTGTGGAGGATATTCCCAATGCTATCAAGTTTTTCCACAGCTGCCTCGACCACCATGGTAAACTCCTGATCATAATTTTATCAGGTAAGAGGGACCTCTTATTTTTTGCTTCATTGCTGGTGTTTTGAAGAGCTTTGAAGTCTGAGAGCCACAGATATTTGTCTCGGGATTTCAGTAGCGCTTATGCTATAGTAATTAAATAAAACAAATACTGTATTTCATAGGGAGCATGCAATCTTGGGCTTAGCCTCTTGGACCCCAGTGTTTGATGGGACCACCTAGACATAGCCTTCGTGCTCTTGCTCCCCTGCTTATGAAGTAGATGAACTGCTCTGTACCTCAAAGAGACCTCCTGCCATGAAATTACTGGCTAGAAAGAAGTATGGCTATTCATAAATGAGGGTCAGTCCTTCTTCATGGTGAAATCAGCACTGTAAAAATGCAACTTGAGCTCTGGGAGGACCCATCTTTGGGGCTCTCCCCTCTGCACAGCAATGGCCAAGACCCCAGCAGGACAATGGGTGCTGCCAAGATCTGTGGGCTTTATGGCAGGGTAGGAAAAAAAGGCACTCAACATCATGGCACTTATTAAAAATAATGTTTTTTCCAGTGTGCCATTCATGAATCCTCGGCTCATGGTGCAGTGGATAAAACACACTTCCCCATGTTTGCCATTAAAACTCCCTCTCACATTGCCAGTAGGCTGTTTCCCTTGCTAGCTGGGACTAGCTTTTTCAGGTATGTATTCTTTGATGTGGACTTAAAATTGAGATTCAATATGTAAAAACATCTGCACTATTCTAGCAAAGGGGCACTTAATAGCTAGCATGTATGTGCAGGCTCAACGTGTTGTTACGTCTGTGTGTACTCCTTCCTCTGGGCAAATCCAGTGCTGGGGACCATCTCCGAGGAGTTTCCTTTAAACAGGAAAGTTTTGGAAGGAGGGCTGAGAGAGATCACGGTTTTACCACTCTCCAGGCACAGACATTTGTAAGTGGACTCAAATAAGAAGAAAGCTCTTCTCGTGCTCCTGGCAGGATCTGGGCCAGCAGCGAGGGAACATTTCACACTTATTTAGTAGTTTAGGTGTTTGACTGCCTTGGCTTTGCAAAAGTAACCTTCCCTCTTGCTCTGGCAGACAGTAGCGGATGGGCCAGCTTATGGAAGAAGTACAGACACTGTTTGCCTTCCACCGACAGCGGCCACTACATCACCTCCAACGGCATCACGGATGTTTTGAAGAGATTGGGCGTTGAATACCACGTTTATGAGTTCCCATCGGGCTGGGATATCACCGAGTGCTTTATCGAGGGGGACCCGGTTGGAGGCCGCATGATGGATTTCCTGACGGGGACGAAAAACTTCCTGGGCACGGCCCCCCCGGGGCTGCGGCGGCAGCTGCAGGAGGCTCTCTGCCAGCCCGAGTGCAGCAGCCAAAAGGACGGGAGGATCATCTTCAGCAACAACTTGAGTATGATTGTGGTTGAATCCTAGAGTCCAGACCACCTGCAGAAGAAAAGTCAGGATGGGTACAGGGCGGTGTGGTCGCAGAAAGGCATAGAGTAGAAAGAAGGCAACTTGCAGGCAAGAAAGTGGGGCTCAGCTGCAGCCTCCCGTTCCCAGCCAGGGTTGGCGGAGCCGCCTGCAACACCAGGGATGAGCTCTTTGTCCTGCTGAGGTCAACGGGCCAAGATTTCACCCCGGCTATTTAGTCCAGCCCTAGGAGAACATTTTCCAGAAAGTAAAGAAAGAGCTCCATCTCGCTAAAAGCCTACGTGGACTTGTTTTTTAACAGTATGCATCCTGTCTGTGCTTTTGACACTGGGATCTCCACTTTTCTATGTAGCCAGCATGTTTACATACCGAAAGATATATCTATATGAGCAGGTGTTGCTCTGCAGCCAGGAGGAGGCTGCAGCCCCCATGCTGGCTGTGTACAGACCCGCTGCTTCCAGCTGCACCAGGACAAAACCAGCAAGGTGTCCCCGCTGCTTTGCACCCAAGTAATGTGCCTCCCTTCACCCAGACCTGAGCTGTAAGTTGCTCTGCACTAGGCTATTTCACATGGTTTTATCAGCGTAGGTATTACTGCCCCAAGCATCTCGCAATATAGACATGTTTTAAAAATTTTTCAGCCTTTTTGTTTGGAGAATTTTTTGGATCCCAGGATGATACTTGCCCTGTGCTCTTTCAAGCAGATATTAATTTTGTTACTTTCTTACTACTGTTTTTCTCTATATAAAATAAAAGCAATTTTAAACCAAAAGTAACACTTCTTCTGTATGTGTGGGCTTACAGAAAATGAAGAGTGAAGAGGTTATTTAGTTAAAAAAAAAAAAAAAAGCAAAATACTGTTTAATGGAAGCATTAAGGGTTTCTTGTAAGTGAGAAAGACAAGACTAAGGCCATGCAAGAGCTGGGTGCGACCTGCACCTCATCCTTTTGCTGCAGCCATGGGAGGCAGCTTGGCTTGCTCAAAGCAGTGTCGCTGCAGCACAGCAACATAGCACCTACATTACTTAAATATAGTGTATGTGGTTAAGGTGTTAGTTTAGGTAATTTAAGACTATTTCCACGGGATTCTGAGTTCTTCAGAGGGCTAAAGAAGGTGCTTCCAGGGCAGCCAGCTGGAAAGGGAGACCCTGCACAGGAGACCAGTGGGGTTTGGTGCTGCATTCAGGGCCATGGTGCTGTGCAGACCTTGGGCTGGGCACATGGGGGAAAGGGCCTGAAGTCGAACCAGCCTCATTGCAAATAGCTCTCAGGGCAGGAAGCACCAGCTCAGATGGAAAATACCTGCAGGCACAGAGCCCACCTCTATAAACTGATTTTTCTATGCTTAAGCTGGAAAGCACATGCCCATGTCCACCTGAAGGGGCTGCAGATACCACTGCCTTACTGATGCCTGGTATTGATGAAAAGGCTTCTTCCAGCATCACGAACACATGGATTGGCACATTAGCTTGCAAAATATTAGATGTCATTGTCACCTACAGTCCTGCTGATCCTGCCAACCCTACCCCAGCCCACACCCCATCTATCTGCCTGGATGCAGTTATTGCCAGAGGTAGCAGCACTCCCATCTGAAAAGGTAATGTCAGCTCATAGGGTCATTGCAGCTCCACTTTGTGCTTTGAGGTTTTTGTTGTTTTTGTTGTTTTTGTTTTGGTTTTTTTTGTTCTAGTTTGGTTTTTTTCATATCTTTCTGAAATGCAGCCATTTCTCCTGCAAAAGTTTCCTCTGAAACTACTGTAAAGGAAAAAAGAGAAAAGCAATGGGAAAATGATAGCATAACATCATCTCTCCAGCAGAACTGTGGCACCCAGGTCTGTAAGTACTATTGCTGTCAGTCTAAGAAACATCAATCAAAACTGGACACCCTCCTCCAGAGTACCCCATACCTATGCACAATGTTTTTGTTTTGATCCATTTTATTTTTTATTCTATAGGTATCTCTTTTGCTTGTGCTCGCTCACAGCACTGGTCAGGGAGCATATAGCTGGGCTGTTGGACAGGCTCTCAGCGCTCCTCCCATCAATCTTCTCCTTCCACTATTAATTCCCATGGTTTATTTCCAAGTATTAGTGATGTCTCTGTCTCTACGTGGTAGATTAAAATGAAAAAACCCCAAATATACCAAAAACCAGGCTTGCTTTTCAAGCTCCAAAGAACCATCTACCTGTTAGTCTTTGCAGAAATTTGAAACAGTCCAGGTTCCACTAGATCTTCCCCCGCCCAAGAGGTTTTCACCCCTACAGAGTTTCCTGAGCAGATAGACACGTTTCCAGTAAGCAGATACTCAGCAAAACCCATGAGCACAAAATTTACCCACACCGTTGTAAATCAATGTGCAAATGCTCAAAAGAAAAGGACGACTTCAAAGCAGACAGCCTAGGGAGATGAAACAGGGCACTCCATTAAAAACACGATTGCTTAATGCTTCATCTGTAATTTCTCTTTTGGTTCTTGAAAAGCAAGTCATTTAACAACGACTCTGCTTGTACACCTGGCACAAATACTATCCTAAGTGTCTGTTCCACTTTTTTATATATTTATTTGTGGAAGAATACGCTATTTAATAACTATTGGTTGTGCTCTTTAAAATATGCTTTCCTCCCACGCAGGGTTTCGGTCTGTGCTTTCCCAGCAGCCGGCATGCAGGACCGCGGTTGGGTCTGTGTGGCCACGAGAGGGCTGCAGCAGCCAGCGGATTAAATCTGCCTCCCAAAATGCTTGAGAAACTGAGCTGAAGAAGCAGAGTCAAGTAGCCTGGCAGGTGAATGGAGCACTGCTTCAACTCAGCTTGCTTTGCTAGGTCATCGCATCCTGATTCCAGCTGTTGGGGACCATGTTTTTTTCTACCGTGGAGTCACGTTCTTGATGCCGGGCTCCGACTTGTAAAAAAGTCACGATTGCACAGCATGGGGCCAACGAGGTCTGCACAAAATTTGCTGTTGGGTTGGTTTTTTTCCCCCACGCGATGGCTGAAGTGCTGCAGCTTGGCTGCCTCTCAAGCACAAGCCTGCAGGTAGCTAACCAGGTGCCGTGGCTGGCCGGGGGGAGGAAAACACAAAGAAGGGGATGTCAGGAGTAAGAGGTTGCTTCTGCTTTGGCTTTGAGCCGAATTAACCTTGCTGACCTCAGTCCAGGATAAGCCCGGCTCAGCAATGAGTTTCATGGCAGATGCCAGTGCCGCAGTTAGTGAGGAGCAGGTCCGTGGCTTCCCGAGGGAGCCGTGCCGCTCCGTCAGCACGACAGCTTGCTCCGGCCCAAAGCGAAGGCTTTTGTGGATAACCATGTAGTAAGCTGCCGCGTGTACTCTGGAGTAGAGGCAATGCCTACAAACCCCAAATGCATTATTTTTAAATGGAGCAGTTGCAGATTTTATCCTTATTTCAAGTTAGTAATATGCTGGAGCATATATTTAAAAGATTAAAAAGAACCTCAGTCAGGGAGCAAAAATTAAAAATACAGGTGCTGAACTTTTTTTTTCATCCCTTTAATATTTGCCCACAGAAATCTGTTGAGGCTTATATCAAGAATGTAGAAAATCTTTGGGTACCCCGTGCATTCATCATAAATAAATACATCAAATAAATGCATGGCTGTAAGTGAGATCTCTAATAGTCATGAGCTGTACAGTATCTGTGTTAATAATTTTCATTGAGACACCAGGGTTTGCCCTGCAGTCTTCAGACTTGGGATGCTAGTTCTGGAGGTCCCTTGGGTGAAGAAACCTGAGGCAAGATCTAGATGTGGCAGAGAAATTGCCACAAGGTTGTACTTAGGAAATCCCAGGAAAATTCAGGGCATGCTTATGCCCAGAAAATAGTCTTCCAGCTGCCCTGAAACCATGTGTGGTTCAGAACTGCTTCATCAGATGTATTGTCAGATAGTCCTTGCTAGGCACAGGATTCGGGTTTCCTGAGGGACTGACCTTTCTCAAAGACCTTTATGATGGGAAGGACTGGAGTAACTGCGAGCTGAACATGCAGTGTCTTTTATCTTTTGATGGAATTAGTCCTGATGACCCCAAACATGAACCATCTCCACATGCTTAGTATGCAGCAGAGAAGGGAGCAAAGGCCAGATAAATCTCCTTGAAGCTGCCGGTTGTAGCTCCATGTACTGGTGGTAGGATCGTACCAACCTTCCTGGAGCTTACAAAGGCCTTTGTAGGAATAATAACCTTCTGCCTCAGGTCATAATTCTGAGAAGTTGTTTATCACCCTATTGTTTAAAGTACAGTGTTTTTTGAAGGTCATATCCTCCAGACTGAGAACAAGTATCTAAACCAAGTCTAAAATACCTTTGTTATTAACCATAGCTCCTTGGAGTCACTCAACTCCACTACTTAAGTATCAACACAAACTTAAATCTTGCGAGATGGTGAGAGTTCTGGTTAGGCCTCCAAAGACATCTATGGACCAGTGCTTGGTCACTCTGCTATGTGTCAAGCTGCTGGGACACCAGACAGCAAAAGCCTGGAAATCTCCTCATTTTGGCATGGACACAGTGGCATGGTCCTAGTAAACATGCTGACGGTGCCATGAGAGCCCTTGTCCTGTCCCAGCAGAGTAGCTCCAGGCTGGCTGGGGAGAGACAGCCACCTCGAGGAGGTTCTCTCTGGCTCCTTCTCACCCAAGGGCAGTCACCCAAACTCCTGGCTGGGGGGTGAGCACCTCGGGGTCTGGACAGACACCCCTAATAACACTGGCGTCCCCCCCCCGACTTCTGCTGCATTTGTCAGCCAGCCCAGTTCTGCTGGGAAATGCTGAAATTCAGATCCACGCCCCTTCAGAAATCACAAAGCAAACAAAGATCTCCTCCTGCCACCGGTATAAAGTCCCTTCCTGTCTCTAAGAGCACCCTTATCAATGCAAATGTCCCTTGCAATCAGTCCTAAAACAGGAAAAGAAATGAACTGACAGCTTATCCCTCTAATACAAATATGTTCATGCGATCAGCCTGGCGCAGGAGCTGCAGCCTGGACA